CCAACCCTATTTTTCACTTTCCTGTTGATCATCAACACCCCGTTTTGTCTCATCCTCACCAATATAATACACGAGATTTCAGATGCAACTCTGTGCTGGGTTGAAACTAGCACTGGACCTCAACATAGGCACTGCTGGAGAGCAGACCCAATTGATATCTGGCTAACCTTGCAAATACCCTTTTCTTTGAAATGCTGCAAGATATGGGCAGCTCTTGTCTCCACTTATGGGAACTCCTCAATTAGAAACAATTAACATTGGGGGGTGAAGGCATCTGGATGCTGCATGAAACAGGAACTTGGATGGTGTGCAAGCAATTTATTTCATTTCTCTCTTGGCAAGAGCGAGGGGGAGGAAAGTTTTGTTTAGGACCTGCAGCAGCTCAGGATGGAGTGGTGAATCTTTGCTTTTTATTCTCAGCACTGAGAGACATCAGAAGAGAAGTCACTCGTGGATCAACTTCAAACTGCTTTGGAAGGATTGGGAGGCAGAAATGGTGGTAGTGTGGAAATACCCACTATATGCACAGAAAAAGATTGATACAACTGTCTTCATTTGTGAACTTGATGGGGGTGACTCTGGGAACTTTTATGACAATCCTTTCAGTTCAAACAACACACCACCACTAGAGGGACTCCCCCCTAACAATTTTTCCCTTCCATTGATGAGATGAGATGAGATGAGATGAGATGAGATGAGATGAGATGAGATGAGATGAGATGAGATGAGATGAGATGAGATGAGATGAGATGAGATTGCTTAGACCATCCCTCTGGTCTACAGCAGCAAAGTCAACATTCTTTCAAAACACAACACTTGACCAAGCATGTTCTGAATGAGTTAAACATACCTGAGGAAAGATGTAAGTTATGTGACTTCATTTTTTGGTTTTTCAAAAGTGAATAATTTCAGGACGACAAGGCAAGAGAAAACATGTGGGACATCGTTTCAGGTAGACAAGGGAAGAAGGGGGAGAGAAGAAGTATCGGGAGTTCAGTGCAGGGTTTAAGCTATCCATCTGTTCAGTTTGCACTGATGATGGAGCACATGCTCTCCATTGCAATGAGATGTGTTAAAAGAGCATTTTTCATTTCCAGTGCCTAGCAACAAAGTCATTCAGCACCTGCAATAGTTTAAACATTAAGCATAATTGGCTTTGCTTGACATAAATCTGTAGTTTTGTAAATAAGAACAGGATAGTCCTATCGTCATACCAATTAGCTGAAAGGAATGCTTTCTTTACAGATGCCTGCTGCTTTTGGAGAAGAGAGATGGGTCTCTCTCCCTCTCTCTCTCTCTCGATTCCATGCTGTTCCATCACAAAAGGCAATCATAAATTGATTTATATCTAAAATTACAGAAACAGCACAATACTGTAATACAGTTTGACAGAGGCATAGCTCTCATGCAACCTGCTAACAAAACAGCAATCAGCCAATCTAAAATCAGTTTAGGTGATATGCAATTTATGTATATAAATTTTAATTTGGTACCCAATGAAACATAAGATTGGTACCAGTTGGGTTTCCTTTGGAACAGCATTGCAAAATTAGAGACCACAAAGCAAGACGCCCTTTTGTATAAGCCCACAGGAACGTTTTCTAGCAACAGCATTTTTGAAAGCATTTCAAAGATTTCAGTATACAACTAAGAGGCAGCGTTCTTTCAGAGGTTGGGGATAAGGCTTTAATAGTGGATCCAGAACTGAGAGAATTCTTTTTGTATAAGATGTTCCCATCCAAACTAGTGAGAATCTTAACACCTAAATGCGTCCAAAACATTTCCAAGGCCAGCCCCAAATACAATATCCTACAGGAATCCAATCTATTGAGGAAACATCCTATTTGGTGAACCAGCCCAAATTGGTAAAAAATGTTCCAGCTCCCTGGAATTACATGTATTTCTAGGGAAATAATATAAGACCAAGAAGGATCTCAGACTCTGCACCTGCCCTTTCAGAAGAATACAATCCGTTCAAGAACAGGTTGAAAACCAGCTGTCCAGTCACCCCCTCTCTGTGCTTTCCTATTACTTGAGCTGTCAGTTTCTGTTGTAAACTGAGGACCTGCAACTCTGAGGAATTTTGATACACCCCTGATCCAGGGAAGTTGTATCCCTGAATAAGCATTTCCTTCTGGGGGAGATGGGCAGCATATAAATTTAATAATAAAATAAAAAATAAATAAAAAATAAAATACGGAAATGCATTTTAAGTAGGGCTGGGCAAAGCTTTGAAGGGGAGCGTCACTTCCACAAAAGGTTTCTGCAAAACAGCACTTCAAAGTTGTTTTGTGAAGTAACACTCTTCCCATTGCTTTAAAGGTGAAATGAAGCAGCTGTGAGTCTTTGCTTAGAGATTATGTCTAGTGTTTCCAGCAGACACAGGAGGTTTCCGTACCGGCATACGGAAGCCTCTTCAGAACCTTCCAGTTGGCTGGAATCCTTTGGATTTTATAACTTTCCATGGGCTGAATATCTTAATTCATCTCCCAAATCTGCAGAGGGGAGCTTCTGCCAATTTAAAGTGCATTAGGTAGCAGTCTCACTCCTCACCCAAATTTTAAGCCATCAACCCCTTACTCAATTGCGAATACTTGCCTTGACCGTGTCCTTCGACTATGTGAGCTTAATGGGGTATTAAGGCAATTCTGTGATTGCCATGTTTACTCTGAAGTCTCAAGGAGGTCTCACCATAGCAAACATGGTATGAATATTGAAGCCCCCCCCCCAACACACCAATAGTATAGAATTATCCTATTTGTCCTTCAGAGACGACACTAGTCAGATGGGGCAGGAAAAATTATGATCCCCAGATTGGTTGATATACCACCAGAATCTTGGCTCTGTCCTTTGAACCAATCCATGAATTCTCCCCTAAGAACAAACTATTCTGCTTTTATTTGTCTTGAACTGGGCTGGATTCAATTCCACCACCCTGGAGATCCCATGGTCACATCTCCTACAGTCCTTGAATAATAATGTAATTCTCTGGCCAAAGAAAGCTTGCCAATTCATGAAGACTGCTTTGAGATAACACAACATACCGAAATATGACTAGGCAATTAATGTAATGGGTTGGTGAATTTGGACAGATTAATTCAGTGAATCTAGGTTCAGTCTTCGGCTGGGCTTGCATGTCTTAAACGGGTTGAGTAGGATGAAGTTTGTTTCTTAGCATGGTGTGTGTACCAAACGATCAAACGTATTAATCCATAATATGATTGTTTTGGACATGTTCTGCATGTTTTATAAATTTAGGAATTGTGTTGCCATGTATTTGCTGAGAAATCTGACCAATATAAACTATTTTGGCTATTCCCTGCCTGATACTTATAAGGCTAGGAATCTATTCATGTGAATAAGACCTTTTGATTTTTGATTTGTCTTGTATCTTGGTGACCATTAGCTGTAACTCTAGCATAATTTCACCAAGAAGAATGTCACCATAACTTCTACCTGATTTGGCTTGTGTTGATTCCGTACTCCCAAACGTTTCACTAGCATAAGGAACTAAGGCAGAATCAGATTCTTCAAAAATCCTTTTTTGATTATTGTGGAGCCAAAAGGATCTCACACAGACAGACACCTGAAAAATGGGGAGAGAGGATTCACCCAGCTTTTTTGAGGAAGGAATCACTACTTAACTGTTGCCTGAGTTCACATAGCATGCGAACTCTTTCTCTTGCAGGGCTCATCTGGATAAACATTTGCTTTTTTTTTTTTTTTAATTAAACAGGCTTATGCTTTATCAGGTAGAACGTTTCCTATCTTTGGTAAGCCAATCTTTCTTTTTAAATCAGGCTGTCATTTTTATGCAATATTCTTGTGGTTAATAAATTGCCTAAACTACAATAGGTCGCCATAAATGTTGGGCAAACTTTAATGATGCGTAAGTTCTTTTCCTCATATTGTTCTGTCAAGTTTCTCTAACAAAGAACTTCTTCTCAAGGTAGTGCAGAAAAAAATTATGCAATAGATGGGTAGAAAAAAGAAATTACTCTCAAGAAATAGAGAAATAGATATAAACCTGTACATTTAAATAAAAAACAAGCATAGCTTCCAGCTATAACCACCATCCTTTGATTGTTTTAACAGGCAGAGCTGGGATGTTTTAAAGGGGTCAGAAATGTGCAGGACTACCTCATTCTTAAGAAGGCAAACCTTCCATTTCCTTCTTAGCATCTTGTTCATTCATATGCTAACTCAACGTGCATGAAGATGGGTTGCTACAAAAGAATCATTGTTCTTCCTGCTTATTTTATAGAGCGAGAAGTGAAGAGAGAATGACAGCTGCGTTCCTAGGTTTGATTTAAACAAATAATTGCAAAGGCAAAGGTAGATCCATGCCATTCTAACAAATGAATTGGACTCATGGGGATTTTTTTTTTATCATTAAAAAAAGAAACAGTTAGATAGCGAGTCCCAATTTAAATTCAACATCAAACTCGAAGACACAGATTGGGAGCTAAATCTCAAAGCTTCTGGTGTGGGTCTCTGGCAGGTCACCCAAATCCAGTCACTCAAACATTTTGTTACTGCTTCCCCTGCACTTACGTAAGTGATGCTGTTTGACACCTCAGAGACAATTTCTCATGTTAGATGGGTTGTAAACGAGCACATGGTCCAGAATAATTAACAGTAGCACTTCAGTCCTTTTCTGACAGAG